CTCAACATCTATCTTAATGTATAAATATTCCAGATACAATTAAATTCCCTTGTTTACTCATTCCCAATTCCTCCCCTCTTCCTTCTCAGGTTAACTACTATTTTGATATTGATGTTATTACTCCCATACATGTTTATATACTTTTAGTATGTATGTGGGCAGCCACATTTTATAGTATAATTTATATGTTTTACTAGTTTTATATAAATATTTTCACTCTGTACATATTTAAATTTGAAAGGCTTGATTTGATTTAGGTTCAATATTTTTGGCAAGAACGCTTCAAAAGTCTTATTATGTACTATGTATGTAATCAACTTTATGGTTTTGAGATTTATCCTTAATGAAAAATGTATCCTTAGCTCATTCGTCTATCTGTCACAGGTATTTTTTATTTTCCTTCTAGCAATCTTGTTCATTGTTCTGATTATTTTTCCATTTTGACTCAAAACTTTAGCAAGTATTTTTTTGTCTTTGCTTTTATGGATATCATTTTGTTTATATTGTCTTTCTTTTTGAAATAATTTTCTTGGAGTTTCCCCTTCTAAAAAGATAACATCCTATACTTTTGTGCTAGCAAGTTCATATTCTAGTATAGGAAAGAATAACCTAAAAATATTTGCTATTTCCTCAAACTTTTAAATGTATCTTTTGTGCTTAACTTATATATGTTGAATATTTTCTGTTCAAGATTCTGCTGCTAATCATTACACTGGAAATATAACACAATGAAAATATATTATAGAAAGATAACATATATTAGAAATATATTTTGGAAAATACAGCATACGTTACTTACAATGCATGCTTATAGGGTTACAAATCCCCCAAATTATAAAATATTTAAATACATGTGACACATAGCTCTCCGTTAAATAAGGCTACTGGTACGAGGCAAATACTGATACTAGTCAGTGAGGCTTTGTGGTAGTTTTTTTTTCAGAATCACTTCAATTCATTCGTTTAACAAAAATTTCTTCAGCAACTGTTCTAAGGGCTTGGGATAGAAGAATGAACAGAACAATGAAAGATCCCTGCCTGGTGGAGCTTACATTCAATTCCAATTAACTCTTGCTTCCATTTTTCTATCGTTGTTTTCCCACTTCATACGCTGAAGGAGAGAGAAGTCATATTCAAACTAATCTGTTCTCATCGTGGCAAAAGTCCCAAAGCAAGAAGTGACACTGACCCTCCACCTTCTCGAGGTTTGCAGCGATGGACCAAAGAGAAGAGTCCTCCACCGGTCCTAGAGGGGCGAGCCGAGCGTTACCATAGAGATCACGGACTAGAAAGGCGCTCTTAGCGTCTCTTCCGGGTTCAGCCCTTCTTCTCTGAGGCGCAGGTGTGTTTCTTCGACCTCACCTAGGGTTGCCTTTGGACTCTTTCGGCCCCACCACGGGGAAAGCAAGACCTGCAAGGTAGGCGGAGAAGCTGAGGTCGCTTGGCTGGTTTGTGAGGCCGTGTGCGGGGTTCTGGCGGGAGGCCCTCACAGGCCTTCTAGGGCGGGAGGCGCCTGCGGCGGACGGTGGGAGGTAGGAGGGCCCGCCTGCTGAAGCGTGTTTTATCTTTACCTCCTGTGTTTCTCTCTCCTCCCCTTACTCCTCCTTCCTTAAGCCGCCCTTCAGTATTACAGTTAACAGTTTTTATTTGGCAAATTGGGTCAGGCCTTGTCCTAAGTGCATTATATGAATTAACAATTCTGAAATGACCCAATGAGGGAGGTACTATTCCTACTCCAATTTTTAGATAGGCAACTTGAAGCCTAGAGAGGCTAAAAAACTTGCCCACAGCCCCATAGCTGGTAAGATGAGGATAGAAAACCGAAACGAGCCGGTGCTCTTAACCCCGACACTAGACTACCCTCAGGATTCCTAAAACTCTGATGAGAGCTTTAACTTCCTTCCTCTTTGCCAGTTTCTTTCCCTGTCAGGCTCCTCAGTTCTTTTGTGATTTTTGTTGATGTAATACCGTTCCAATTCATAACTTTCTCCCTCTTTGTCCTTTTTTTCTCTTTCCCCCTGTCCTTTGCTTGCAGGCCAATAACCTGAAAGGCAGAGTGGAGCCTCTGAACTTCCCAGTCTCTAAAGCCACATTGCCAAGGGATAAAAAGTGCAGCTCCTGCCCCTTGGCTCAAAATGTCAGGTGCCAGGAGAAGGCAGTTATTTTGGATTGGTGTTCACAGGAATTTGGCTCCCTTGAAGAGGCCTGTCTTGAACAGCAGGCCCTGGACATCCTACCCGGAGAGAAACAGGGTGGGTACATGCAGAGAGGAGGTTATCGAAATGATGGGAGGTGGAGAGCGAGATCTGGATGGAGAAAAACAGGTAAGAGGAGGCAGTGTCTCTACTGGCCAGGGGAGAGGAACATTGAAAAATGTGATTTTCTTAAGGGCTCAGGAAAATAGTGGCAAAGTTCCTCAACTGAGATTCTTTCTTAACCTTTTTGTTACTAACTGTATTGATGGTCTTTAAAATTGTGTGCTTTTGTGGGAAAGACTGTGTGAATCCTCTTTTTCTAAAATGGAATGAGAATTGGATTTTCTCTTTTTCTATAGTCCAGAGAGATAACTCTTTCATATTTTTACTGGGATTTTAATTTTCACATGTAAATAATACTTTTTTTCCTTTCCTTTTGATGGCATTCTTACATCTAGTTTCCATCCAGTGCCCAGGAAGGGCAGAGCTTGGCATGTGGGAAGGTTTTGGCATCAGTTTTTGATTCATCAGTTACTCAACATCGGCCCATAGTCTTCCAGCCTGAGAATGTCATTCCTTTTTCTTAGGTTCTGCAACAGAAAGGAGGGGAGCTAGCAGTCATCTTTCTGCTCATGAGGTGAGTTCTGGTGGAAAAGGAGCTAGAGCGTGTCTTTGAAATGATGGTACCAAGAACTGATTTTTAGTTACGCATACGACTATTAAAAAAATAGACCTTAGTGAACCTTGGGTTGTCCTATACCTGATATATCTATGCGAGGAGAGGCCAGCCGTCAGTTTAATAAGGCCAGCTTTCCTTGTCAGTCCCTTGTACACCAGGAGCAGATGCTAAACAATTCACTTATTTATTCATTCATTTAATTCATCCATTCATTCACACAACATTTACTGAGTATATTTTAAGTGCCAGCTGATTATTTTGGGAGTAGAGATACAAATTTGAAGGACATTTGGCTCCTGCTCTCAAGGCAGTTCAGTCTGGTTGGGGAAAGAGACTAGGACATCTGTGAATGACAATCCAGTGTTGTACATACTGTGATAGAAGCAGGTACAGGGTGCTGTGGGAGTAGGGTCAGAGGTATAATGGGAATAGGATATTTGGTCTTTGTGTTTGAGTAAATGTATAGGGTACATAAGAGGAAAGGATTTATGCTTGGGTGACTGAGTAAATAAAAGTGCTGTTCACTAAGCCTGGCAATATAGAAGGAAGACATGATTAATTTGGATTTAGAGATGAGTTTGGGGTGCCTGTGGACATGCAAGCAAAGGTGTCCATTGCCTAAAGTCCGGAGTTTTGAGTTTAGCAGGGAGGTTGGGCTAGAAATACAGATTTGAGAATCATCTGTCCAGGTTGAAGGCATGAATATAAATGCAGTCGTGAGGGAGAAGGTGTAGAGTGAGAAGAGCAGAGGGACAAGGATGGAGACCTTCAGGACACTGAAAATGTGAGAGGTGACTACACAAAGAGCTACTGTTGAAGGAGACTGAGAAGGAAAATTACAGGAAGTAGGAAACAGCAAGAAGGAAGTCAGAGAAAGGAAGGCAATGGTTAAAAGCAAATATTTCAAACAGATCAAATAAGGGCATAGTGGTACTGGTGGTGGAGGAGGAGTGCTACAAAGGTACTAGAAGGAAGAGCTGGAGGAAACCAGCTTAGTGATGTGATTACTGAGACTGACGCCTCAGCTCAGAGATTACTGCAGTTTACACCCAGGAAAGACTATTAGGGGATTTCTGGATAGTTGACAAATTTGAATTCAGAATCTGTGAGGATATGAATTTGGAAATGAAAGTGTGTGTGGGATAACTTTGGAGTTTGAATTCATTACTGACAGGACAAGGTCTTTTGCTCCCATTGACTCTACTGATGACTTTCTCTCCTCTTAGCTACATCTGCTTCCCCTGCATCTGCCTTTGGTCATGAGAGTTGCCAAGGAGACAGAGCACAAGAAGAGGTACCTTTGATAATCCATCACCAGGTGAGCTCTGGTTTCTTTTCTCCTTCTGGAGAGTGATGATTCTTTCTGAATAAGGCCAACTGTAATTTTTTCCCGTCCACCTCCAAATTTTAGATGTTTATTCCTCACTAAATAGAATTTGTTTGTTGGTTTAACCCTTCCTAACCCGCTTACTGCTTTCTCTCTTCTTCCTCCACTTCTTCCACAATCATAATAAGAGTGATAGCATTTTATTCTAGCAAGAGCTCATGGTTTATTTGATCAAAGTCATGGGGTTATTCCCAACACAGCATGTATTTGTTGTTTTGGGAGCTTGTGATGTTTGAAGACGTAGCTGTTTATTTCATCCATAAGGAATGGATGTATTTGATCCCTGCTCAGAGGGACCTCTATAGGAATGTGACGTTGGAGAATTATGGGAATTTGCTCTCTGAGAAAGACTATTCACTCGCTTTGGTTCTCCTTTACTTTTTCATGGGTCAGTGTTCAGTATTACTTAGATAAGGATCATCTTTAGGGCCTCCTGAGGGAAAGTATCTTGGGACTTTCTTTGCGTCCAGAGAGAGAATTTTTCTCTCTTCTCACCAGTTTCTGGTTCTGTGGCTCTACTTCATATTTATGCAAAGACAGTGCTTCCTTTACCATTGCTGAGTCCTCATAAAACTCATCCTTTAATTCCTGTCACCTCCACTAGATCAGAGAGAGACTCTGCCATAGGCTTACTGCACGCAATCCATCAGAAAGAATTTCTTTTTCTTTAGCAGAAAAAGGGCAGCCTAGTTATATTATTGTAATTTTTTTTTTTGGGTGGTGGGTAGTGGAATCATATTGAGTATAACATGTATACAGAAAATTATACAGGTTATAAGTGTACAGCTTAATGAATTTTAATAAAGCAAAGGGACCCACAAGGGACCATTGCCTGCACCTCAGAAGCCTGCTGCTTGTGCCCCCTTCAGGCAGTGCTTCTCCTGTCCTCCCCACCTCTACTTGAGGTAATAATTTTCCCAACTTCCAACCTGATAGGTTAATTTTGCCTGTCTTTGAATTTTATATAAATGGAATTGAACAGTATATCTTCTTTTGTGTTTTGGCTTCTTTTGCTCAACATATTTTGAGATTTATTCTTTTGTTGCCAAGAGTTGCAGTTTATTCATTCTCATTACTGTACATTCTTCCGTTGTGTGATAATATCACAAATTTGTCATTTTACCATAGCTGGTCATTTGAATTGTTTCCAGATGTGGTTATTACAAAAGGTGCTGCCGTGAACATTTTGGTATATGTCTTTTGCTGAGCATATGTGTGCATTTCTGTTATGTTTATGACAAGGAATTGTGGGGTCTTAGAGTATGACAGTTTACCAAGTAGTTGGACAAATTTACGTTTTTAAAGCAGTGTTTGAAAGTTGTAATTGCTCCACATGCTTGCCACACTTGGTACTGTCTTTTTTACTTGAGCCATTGTGGTGGGTGTGTAATAGTCTCTCATGTAGTTTTAATTTGCATTTCACTGCTAACTAACGAAGTTGAGCACCATGTTGAACATTTACTGGCTATTTAGACATACTGTTTTTTTTTTAATTGAGTTATGGTCAGTTTATAGTGTATCAATTTCTGTTGTACAGCACAAGTTTCCAATCATATGTGAATATACATGTATTCATTTTCTATTCTTTTTCACGGTGAGCTACTATAAGATCTTGAATACATTTCCCTATGCTATACAGTATAAACTTGTTTATCTATTCTATATATACCTGTCAGTATCTACAAATCTCGTAGGCATACTATTTTGTGAAGTGCCTGTTCTTTTGCCACACTTCTAATTGGTTTTCTGCCTTTTTATTATTCATTTGTAGGGTTTATTTACATGTTTTTGGATCCTCTGAGGGTATTTTAAATCCATCTGTTGCTTACTTTCTGCTTATTTATTCCTTCTGATCTCTATTGACCTCTTACTGACCAGAAGTCTAGGACAAGGCTTTGGAGTAGCTTTATTTTACTCTCCCAATAATTGTATACTCTCACCTTCCCTACAAGGAGCATTGCAGTTTCCCAAACCTGCTGTAATCTCCCAGCTGGAGCAAGGTCAGGAGTTCGGTGGTTTTGATCTGCAGGGAGCTGCTTTAAGAGAGGCCCCTAGGAGCTCCTGTGCAGGTGAGTGATAAAGAATCTGAGTTTCTGTCTTCTATTCTGTTCTTTCTTTATCTTGGCAACTTAAGGACATACCATGTAGATCATTCCTAGCTGTGAATCTTGCATGTAAAGTCTTCCAGAAGAAAAAATAGAGAAAAACTAAACCCTGGAGTTTCAACCTGTCACCATTCAAAAAGCATATGGATCCTGCGCGCTTGGATTCATTTTATTTTCACTAACTTGGATAAAAGTTTATAATCTCCATTTCATTACACTCTTAAACCACCACCTTAATCTTCCCACAGGCCTGGCCATTTAGTCCAGTGCAGAGCAGTTTTCAACCCAGTATTCCTAGATATTCTCCTGCCTTTGTTTTCAAAAGACATAGGGATCTACCGGAGAGTATTTTCCTGAGTGATGACCACCTGAAACTGAGTCAGTGGGAGTACCTGTTACAAATAGAGATTCCTGAGTATCACCCATACCTACTACATAATTAATATCTGGGGGCAGGATTGAATCTGCATTTTTACAAGCTGCGTACGTGGTATACCCGTGAAAGTTTGAGGAGCGTTGTGCTAGATTGGGAACTTCTTGAAGTAAGCGACTGTAGTTATTTCTAGAACATAGTGACATATGATTCATGTTTAATAAATATTTGTTTTATCAACACTGAAAAAGCGCATGTGTATACCAGTCTCTTATTTCAGGGTCAGTTGCTATGTCTACAGTCTGTAGATATTGTCATTGAAGTAATATACAGTTGACTCTTGAACAACACAGGTTTGAACTATACAAGTCCACTTATATGCAGATTTGTTTTAGTAAATGTGTACTACAGTACTACATGGTCTGTGGGAAGATGTGGAACTGTGAATGTGGAGGGCTGAGTATAAAGTTATATGCAGATTTTTGACTAGGCAGAGGGTCAGCACGCCTCACCCCCTGTTGTGTACCTATACTGTTCTTATATTGAGGATACATTTTATTTTGGATTTTGATGAAGAGATTATTCATAGAATAGGTAGAACCTATGCCAGAAGAGACTTTGCATTCTTGTTAGGGAGAAAAAATATATGACCTGATTAGTTAAGATTTAACAAAATAGCATCTATAACAACTCATATATTAGTACAGAGTGTGTAGTAACTTCTAAGAGAACTCAAAGACAACTCAGTCCTCGTTTGACCAAAGTTGGATCAAAGTTAATCAGGTTTCCTACAGAAGGAATGTTTTGTGCTACACACACACACACACACACACACGAGGAGTTTAGAGTTATATTTTGAAAGAAAATACTGAAGATAACCTAGGAGTCAGAAGAGAGTGTATTCAAAGTGAGGTGTGCGACATTGGGCCAGGGCTGAACAAATTCCTTGAGTTGTATCTCATTCTTGAGCCTCATTGGTGGGATCACTGCAGATATAACCTATTTTTCAGTTACATTTTGTCTAGTTTGGAGGGTACTCTGAGGTTATAAAACCCTATCTTTATGTCCTTAGATTTTTCATTTTTTAAAATACATTTTTATTGAAGTATAGTATACAATGTTGTGTCAATGTCTGGTGTACAGCATAATACTTCAGTCATATAGGAACATACATATATTCATTTTCATACTCTTTTTCACCATAGGTTACTACAAGATATTGAATATAGTTACCTGTGCTATACAGTATAAACTTATTATTTATCTACTTTATGTATATTACTTAGTATTTGCAAATCTAGAACTCCCAATTTATCCCTTTCCAGCCCCTTCCCTCCCTGGTAACCATAAGTTTGTTTTCTTTGTCTGTGAGTCTGTTTCTGCTTTGTAAATAAGTTCTTTTGTCTTTTTTTTTTTTTAGATTCCACATATACGTGATATCATATGGCATTTTTCTTTCTCTTGCTGGCTTCACTTAGAACGACATTCTCCAGGTCCATCCATGTTGCTGCAAATGGCATTATTTTATTATTTTTGATTTTCTATTTTCTTTTACCACATATTTTATTTCCTTTTATTTTCTGCTTCAACTCATTCTCCTTTCCCTTTATTTCTCTCAGATAACTCTTTCCCAGTATTTCTTAATTTTGTCTTGCTCCTTGCCCATAATGTTTGAACAGTCCTTAGGCTTAGAAGATATCTCATCACAGCCCATTGTTCTTCCATGTAATCATCATCCACTTTTTTCCCCCACATGAGTGCAATAAATAAGTGACATTTTCTCTTTTTTCCTCCTTCCCTCCATTCCTTTTTTTTTTTTTTAAATTTCTCTCTTTTTTTTAGTGTCAACTGTTAAGACCAAGATGGGAAGGTAGGGAATCAACTGAAAAACTGTCTTTTGAAAATAGTCACATTGAGTCATCTTGACAATACTCAGAAGAATTTGCAGAAAATTCACAAAGGCATTGAAAGATAAGAATAGAAATTCTAGGAAGATGAACGACAAACCTAAGAAAATCCTGATTTCAGAACAAAAAAATAAGGATTTAGAGGAAAACTTGCATCTTAACTTGAAATATGCCAAGTATAAGAGAATTTCAAATGGGCACAATTTCTGTGAATGTAGCACAGATTGTGAAAACATCTACTGGCAGTTGGATCTTATTCTCCATGGAAAATGCATGCCAATGAGAGACTTTGTGAGTGTGAAGACTGTGGAAAACTTTCAGGGTGATTTCAGCTCTCACAAAAAAATCCACAGTGGGAAGAAACCATGTATGTGCGACCAGTGTCACAAAGCCTTCATTGGGAACTCAGATCTTATTAAACACAAGGAAATTCACACTGGAGAAAAACCCTATGAATGTGGGGGCTGTGGGGAATCCCGACCCTCATGAACACCACAGATTCCACTGGGGAGAAACCCTTTGAATGTAATGAGTGTTAGAAAACCTTTAGTAGCAGATCAGCCCTTTCTCAGCATAGAGATTCACATGGCTGGAAACCCTACGAGTGTGTAACTGTGGGAAAGCCTTTAAGACTTGGAACTGCCTTACTGTGAAACAGAAAATCCACATTGGGGAGAAGCCTTGTGAGCTGACTGTAGCAAGCCCTTCCAGTTTAGGCACTGCCTTCCAGTGCATCAGAGGATCCATATTGGAGAGAGGCAGCTATGAGTCTGCAGAATGTGGGAGTTCAGACTTCCTAAACACAAAATCCCTACTGATGTCCGGAGTGTGGGAAGGCTTTCAGTTGCAGCTCTGACCTTACCAAACATAAAATAATCGACGCTGGGGAGAAGCCTTATGAGTGTCAAGAGTGTGGAAGAGCCTTCAGTTATAGCTCGGGCTTTCAGTACCACAGAGGAGTCCATACTGAGGAGAAACCCTTTGGGTGTAATGAATGTGGGAAGACCTTTTACCAGAGCTCAGAACAATGTATGCAAAAAGACTGCATGCAGGAGAGAAACCACGTAAATGTGAAAAGTACGAGAAAACTCTCAGAGGGGCTTTCTCAAGGAGCAGAAAAGAAGAAAGCATACTGAAGAGAAACTCCCTGAGTATGAAAATGAAAAATTAAGTCCAACATCCTTTTGGCAGCCACATCCACATCTGCCTGCCTGCAGCACTGGACACTAAGGAGCCCTTAATTTTGTGGGGGAGGGTGGGAAACAACCCTATTTAAAATTATATTCTGCCTCCTGGTAGTCTCATTTGCTTTTTCCTTACCCTACTTCGTTCCATACCTCATAATAATTTCTAATACATATTGACTTATTTATAATGTTTATTTTTTATATGTATTATCCCTCTGCTACAGTATAAACTCTACAAGGACAAGGCCCCTGGTCTCCTGTTTGCTGATGTATTTGAGGTCACTAGAACCTTTCCAGGCAAATAGAAGTGGTGGTGATGGTGGTGGTGGTGGGGCACAATAAATATTTTTTGAATGGAATGAATTCTTCATTTCCTTGATATGCTTTTTCTGGGTTACCCTTCAGTGTCTCCAGCCATTCCATTCCTCCTGCTTCTGCTGACTCCTTTTGGTTCCCTTATCCTAAGTTGTGACTGTGTCATGCTCTGGTCTTTAGGCAAGGGGTCATAGTAGTCAGTATCTTCTGACCTTCACTCCAAGCCTATTAAATGAAATGATACTCGCTATCACTGTGTCAACAGTATGTTTATATAAACCACACACATGCTATTTCTCTCTTCATTGGGGGCATTTCAAGGCAAATCATGGAATGGGAAAAATAAATACCTATGTTTATACTATTTTGTTCCATTGATCTATGTGTCTGTTTTTATTCTAACACCACACTGTTTTGATTACTGTAGCTTTGTAATAGTTTGAAATCAGAAAATGTGATGCCTCCAACTTTGTTCTTTCAAGATTGCTTTGGCTATTTGGGTTCTTTTGTGGTTTCATACAAATGTTAGGATTGTTTGGTCCATTTTTATGAAAAAATATCATTGGAATTTTGATAGGGATTGTATTGAATCTGCAGACTGCCTTGGATGATATGGATGTTTTAACAGTGTCAGTTCTTATGATCTATCCTTGAGAATATTCATGTATGTTTGAGAGGAATGTGTGTTCTGCTGCTTTTGGTTAGAATGTTCTATAAATGTTAAGGCCAACTGGTTTAATGTGTAGTTTAAGTCCAGCTTATACATTGAGAGTTGAGGGTGAGGTTTGAGGTACTTTTAGAATCCTTCTTTTCTTTTCTTTTTTGCTAATGGATTCAGAGAAGTCTGTCCATCCCTGTCAATTGCTTCGGATACTCTCCCCATGTAAGATTCCTAAGGGAGTTATATAAAAGGAACAATAACCAAATAGGACTAATACAATAGTTAATACTATTGAGCACTTTAATTGCACACTATACTAAACACTATGTGCAGTATTTTGCTTAATTTGTGGAGCAATGAGCAGAACTTTTCAAAAGCGATCCTGGGATCTTGCTCTAGGTTGTCTAGGAAATGAGCTAGCTGGAACTGGGGTTTCTCCCTCTTCCTGGGAGGAGGGTCTCACCTAAACTCGGTTTACTATAGGACCCCAGTGCCTTATACTCCCTAACAGGAGGGGCTACAACTTTCTGCAGTATCCATGGTCTCAGGTACCAGGCAGCTCGCCCTCAGACAACTCCTGCAAACAGCTGGCATTTAAACCCAGATAGCCTGGCAATGAAGTAGTCTTGTCTCACTGAGAAGTGGCATTCCAGTTTACCTTTTGAGAAGGTAGAGCAGTTGGGTCAGGACTAGAGCACCGACCCCACTGCACGTCAAACAGCTTGGCCTCGGCCCTGGTTCCCCTCTCCATGGGATTATGAGAGGATGGAGGCACCGTGCCTCTTGTGCCTGACTGTGGTTTCTATGTTTGCCCAATAAATCTTGTTCTTTGGTTCTCACTGTGTGATGTTGCAGGATTTATCCTAAAGCTTGTTGCACCATATCTTTGCAGCAAATTTATCAGAAGTGAGGTCTCAAGAGCGCGGGTGGAGGGCGCCACCTTCTGGGAAAGGAGTGTAGTTACAAGATTAACTTTTGTGTGTGTTGGGCGGAGATTGGAGGCTTGACTGATGAAGGAAAAATTGTCAGACACTACGGTGATGGGGATCCCCAAGAAAGAGCGAACGGTGGTCAGGGCCTCAAGAACCTCATGCCCAAGCAAATTTGGCCAGAGTTACTGGGCTGCAGGCTCTTCGATGGAGATGGCTGATTTTAAGACTAGAAAACCTGAAAACGAAGATCTGCCACTCAGGGAGACCGAAGGCAAGGTTTACTGGGACTCGATGGTTATGAAAAGGTGGGGAGTGGAGTCTGCTTCCTTATAAGGACCACCATCACCTGTGTGGAGGTCTGGAATACTTAGCTCTTGTTATAATATGGACAGTCAGTGCTTATACCTCGAAGGGTCATTTTTCAGTAGCACCACCTTGTGTCACTAAGGAGAAATGGCAGTAGTGGACTAGGACACTGTTCCTTTCCTGGTTGGGTGTGCTAACTGATTGAAACTCATTTTTGGAATTTCAAATTTGGAGATCATTCTGGGGGACAGGGAGCCCAAAGCGGAGACAGTGGACGTTCTGTTAATATTGCAATTGGGGGTCGATGAATAAATTGGAAAATAATGACAATAAAGAAAAGCAGTGGGCCGTGTTTGTATTTTGAGTTCATGGAACATTTCTTACCAGCAGGATACAATGATAGCAAGGATGGAAACTTTTGGTATTTTGGTTGGTGCACGAGAGCATAAAACCCGTCGTTTTCATGTGGCTACTGTAAATGTGCACCTAAAATTTTCGATAAAAATATGTTAAAGTTATGTTATTCTTTGACAGTATTTCCTTTGATGATACTACTGTATCTTAAAACAGAAACATTATAATTTCTCTTGAATCCTCAACTCCAAAGAACATCTATGGTTTTATAGATGAGTGATAATAATGAATATCCTCTTTAAGAAATATCTGCTGTTTCTGATGAATGTCAAATAGCTAATATTATTCTCTCTCACAAAGGAATTTTTTCCTTTTAAAAAGAGATCTATCTTTGTTTAATAGAACTGAGAATACAGACCAGAAAGAACATCAGTTTAGGTCAGGTTTCCCTGCCAAAAGATCTCGTTTAAAAGTTTTAGTTTTCCAAGCTTTTTATATTTAGGAATTGTGGGCAGGAGTTTTTTAACCTATATTTAATCATTTCTAGAAGTTCTGTTTCTCTTAAAAAATGTTTATGTAGCAGCAGATGACTAATAGAACCAGGAGTAAATGAGACGTCTGTTTCCCCAAATTCTTGATAATAACATTGTGTTATCAAACTTAAAAAAAAAGTATGCCAGGGAATTCCCAGCGTTTTAGCTTGTTTAACTAGGTTATTATGAATCCAGGTGTCACTTACTAACCTAGGAGACTATTTATGCCCATCTCAGGTGCTGGAGCGAGCCTCGGTATGCACACCCTTCTAACCAGTTTGGCTCGGGAGTCTTTATTTTAGTCATCTTTTCAAATAAGGAAAAGCACATACTATACCACTCAGATATTGTTTCCCCAGTGTTTGTTTTTTTTTTTTTCATTATCGCCATCTCAATGAAAATTTAATACCACAGTTAAACTTTATCTGTTTATGTACAGTGGCTCTTTGGAGGGCCACCAATCATCGTACTAGCTAAGATCTTTGTCACTTGCCTAAGAGCCACTTTTTGCCCCCTTGGGGGTGATATATCTAATGTGAATGCATATATTGGGAGAAATAAAACAGGATACTGAAAGTGACCCAAACTTTATTATGGATGCACATAAATTAGAAGGAAATTAATTAAAAAGTTAGCAGTCATTACTTCTGGCCTATGAGATAATAAGCAACTTTTTCTTTTATTCCTTCTGTTTTTCTAGTTTCCATTCTCGTATGTACCTCCAAGGGATGTTGTGACAATTCAATATTATGCATATGATGAAAGAAAAAACTATACTATCCTTCCCTTCCCTTAAGTCTCAGTGTTTCATGTTAAAAACCTGAAGATATTGGCCCCAAGTTCATTACCCAATGAACATTCACTAAAGTCTGCAGGATTAACATTTTCTTGTAGATTTATTAAAAATATTCATTTAATCATTCTACAGACATTTACTGAATATGTAATTCATGTTAGCAGCCAATTTAGACACAGCAAAATCTCACATGAATAAGATGTTCTATGTTGTTAAAAAGTTCAGTGTCTTTCACTCATACATGCAGACAAGTAAAATGAGAATACCGTAAAACTGATATGGTCAGATTTTGGAGGGGATTCTAAAGATGCATTGATGAGATATCTAAGGACTTTTCAGATGAGGTAAGATTTCAACTGAGTGTTGAAGACTGAGTAAGAGACTTTTTAAAGTAATATATGCCTATGAATGTTTGGGATCAGCCCTTTTCACAAAGAAAAGTTGATAACTCATTTCCAGTGGCCACAATTTCACCATTCTGTACTTTGCTCCTTCATAGTCCTTACAGTACCAACAAGTGTAGATCATCTTTTTGCTTTCCCTCTCTTTTGATATTATCATCCTCTCTCAGATTCTTCATCTTTTACCAAGGCTCACACAACTGACAATTTTAAAATTACGTGTACAAAGGAATCAAAATCTTAAAATGAAGGCATGTTCTACTGTGGAAGTTTGGGAACCACAGGGCTTAAGGATGGAGATAAGACCATAAACTCATACAACCTACCCCCCCCAACTTCAGGCAGATAGTGGCTTACTTTGCCTTTGAAATGACATTGGAATGGCACTGCAGATGTGAGGACTTTCACTTGCTGAGAGGATTTTCAATGTCTGAAATGGCCAATTTTTAGAGAAGTTTAGTTAATTCTCCAGCATAGAGATTCCCAGATTTTGAATGTATTTACCAGTAAAATAAAGTAAAAAAAATTAGGGGAGCAAACATGAGATTACTAAATTTTTGTTTTGTCAAGAGCATCAAGCCCCTTTCTAATAAATTACCATCTACTACTACAATAGTTCAAGAAAAGAACATTATAAAGCCATAGTGCAAATAGATAGTATTAAATAAAGAATAATCTTTTATACTGACTTCATTTAATCTTAGTTGAAACTCAGTATTTTCCTCCTTTCTCCAGATTGGTAGGGGGAAGAAAAATAATGGAATGGCCATGATCTGAAGTCTGACATTTGGGACATTTGGAAACTACTTATCTAAAAGCTTTGAGAAATCTGTATTCACTTTCTTTCACATATCTATCAGGAAGGAAATTAATCAAAATCTATAAACCATGTTAATTTTCTGTTTAGAGACGTTCAGTGACTCCCTTTTCTCTATAGCAGTGGTTCTCAAACTTTAGCGTTGCTGAAAAACATAGATTTCTGGGGTCCAACCTCAGGTGGTTGATTCAGTAGATCTAAAGTGGGGCTTAGAATTTGCTTTCCTAGTGAGTGGCCAGGTGATGCTGAGGCTGCAGGTCCAGGGACCACACTGCCCTGCAGGAAAAGGCCCAGACTCCTTATCAGGCCATAGAAAGGTAAAAGCCAAGCTCTCAGAGAGATTCCAAAATACAGTGGCTTAATTAATATTAAATAATATGAAAGATTTTTCTCCTGTAATAATCTGGAGTCTTGCTCTGCTAATGGGCTGGTTCTGTTCCCATCTTACTTCCCTCTTAGAGTCTTTGTCAAAGCTAGGTACCCTTCACATTCAGTCGTGCCAAGAGGAAGAAGAAGGTGGAAGGTTAGAGCAAGTGGCTTCATGTTTGAGAATATGGCTGAGAA